GGCGGAGGTGTGGGGCGCGCTGGAGCTGGTGGGGATGCGGGAGCGCGTGGCGGCGGAGGGCGGCGGCATCCACAGCCGCGTGCGGGAGGGCGGTTCGAACTACAGCGTGGGGCAGCGGCAGCTGCTGTGCCTCGCGCGGGCGCTGCTGCGGCGGGGCAGCGGCTTCATTTTGATGGACGAGGCCACGGCGAACATCGACCACGCCCTCGACCGGCAGATCCAGCACACGGTGATGACGGCCTTCAGCTCACGCACCGTCATCACCATCGCCCACCGCCTGCACACCGTGGCGGCGTACGACAAAATCATCGTCATGGACCACGGCGTCGTCGCGGAGTCGGGCTCCCCGCGCGAACTTGTGTCGGACCCGTCGTCCAAGTTTTCGGGGCTTGTGGCGGCGCTGGGGAAGCAGGAGGCCGCGGCGTTCATGGCGAGTGTGGGGGTTGAGACGGCCCCGTAACGGCTGGCGGGTGTGAGCGGCGCCCAAGCAAGCAGGCCATCGCCAGGCTACTTTGGCTGCGGCCCGCCGTGTATGTGTGTGTGTGTGTGTGTGTGCGGGGATGAATGACCTTTTTTGCTGCCCGCAGCTGCGGGGGAGACGCGCGCCGGTGGAGAGAATGCGCGGTGGCGGAGGGTGAGCCTTGTGCGTTGTATCGATTGCTGCCGAGCGACGGCAGTTATTTGTCTCCACCGGCTGCCTCTCCTTGCGCCGGCGTGCTGGGCGGGTGTGAGGATCGGCCCCCTGTTTTTGCGTCTGTCGGCCCCCTTTTGTCTCCAGCCGCGCGGCGGGCTGTTGCGGGGGCATGTCCCCGCGGCCGAGGTTCACGTGGGGGAGGGGGGTGCCGGCGCGTCTTGAGCGGGCGGCCGTGTTTGCGGGGCTCCGTGCGGGCCGTTGTTTTCCCTCACGCGGTTGATTGGGCTTCGCCAGCGGGTGGTGTGCGGGGGCCGGACTCATCTTTGTCGCGGAGCGTCGGGTGCGACGTGCGCGGCGCTGTGGCCAAGCATTAGTTGCGTGTTTGCCGTTTCGCCGAGCGTATTTCTCTGTCACTGCGGCGTTGCTGGGTGCCTGCATCTCCCTTTTCCTCTGTGCCTGGGCGGGTAGGTGGCAATGCGGCGGCTGCGTGCGTTCGCCATGTTGGGGCCGGCGGCGTCGTGCCGACGCTTTGGCAACGCGCCAAACCGTGTGCGGCCCGTGGAGGCGCCAGGCGTGCACGCATGGCGACAGACCGAGCGTGAGGTGAGCGTCGTTGTGGCGCTGGCGGTGATGGTTGTTGTGCCAGTCTGGCTCCTTCTGCTCTCGGGCTCTCAGGAGGAGCAGAGGCGTGAGGGCGTGAGGCGATGGGCCATGGGGCAGCAGCAGCAGCAGCGCGGCGGCGAGTGAAGCCGCCTTCCACGCCCACCGAGGGAGGCTCGGGNGTGTGNGCTGTGTGTGTGCGTGTGTGT